AAAAAGGAAGGAAAAGATTGAAAATTTGATTAAATCTCAAAAGGGAGCACTTGATAAGTTTTTTGGTAGTAGTAAATGAACACAAAATGATGACATAGCCGCTGAAGAAGTGTTAAATGAGAATGACAACAATAATAATACAATTGAAGAAGGACATTGTGTGATGAATGAAGAGGTATCTACTGACAAAGATAATGAACCATTTTCTCTTGACCTTGTTGATCCATCAAATTGGGGAAATATGAATACAAATTTAAGAGATTTAATTGTAATGAAAGGTCCTGTAAGAGAAAATGATCTGATTTTTCCGAAAGATGGAGCAAATCGACACTTCTTATCCACACATTACATTCGACGATTACCTAATAGAGAGAAGTATGATAGAAAATGGTTGATATATTCAAAAAGTTTGGATAAAGTATTTTGCTTTTGTTGTAAGCTATTTAAGAATGATGGGATTAGAACCCAATTGGCACATGATGGAGTAAATGATTGGAAAAATGTTGGTGAAAAACTTAAAATGCATGAAGCAGGTTGTGACTACATCAATAACATGAATAAATGGATAGAAATGGAATTAAGATTTGAAAAGAGTAAAACAATTGACAAAAGTGTGCAAGAACAAATCAATAGAGATAGAGAACATTGGAAACAAGTATTATTGAGAATAATATCTGTGGTGAAAACTCTTGATGAGAATAATTTAGTATTTCGTGGGGACAATGAGAAGATATATCAAGAAAATAATGGTATCTTTTTAAGCATGATTCAAATGATTGCTGAGTTAGACCCTGTAATGCAAGAACATGTTCGTCGAATATAAAGTAAAAAGATTCATTATCATTATCTAGGACACAAAATTCAGAATGAGTTGATATTTATGCTAGCGGGCGAGATGAAAAAAAAAATCATTGAGAAACTCAAAATTTCTAAATACTTTTTTGTTATACTTGATTGCACTCCAGATACAAGTCACGAAGAACAAATGTCAATGATATTGAGGTGTGTAGATATTTCAATAAGTCCAGTGAAGGTTGAAGAATTCTTTTTAGGATTTTTATTGGTGGATGATACATCAGGTAAGGGGCTTTTTTAGGAATTGTTGGATGCTTTAAATAATCTAGAACTTGATATTGATAATGTAAGGGGTCAAGGCTATGATAATGGTACTAACATGAAAGGACAACATAAAGGAGTTCAAAGTAGACTATTACAACTAAATCCTAGAGCATTCTACATTCCTTGTGGATGT